AGGAAGATTGGCCGGCTAGGTCCCCGGATTTTAATATCATCGAAAATGTATGGGGGCATCTTGCTAGGAGTGTTTACAGCGGTAGCCGACAATTTCAGGGCGTTGAAGAATTCAAAAAAACAATTCAGGAGGAGTGGGCCAAACTTCCACAAGAGATGATTCGTCGTCATTTTGACTCGCTTTTAAATCGTATGATTGCTGCATTAGAAAAAGGTGGTGCATATACAGGATATTAAATTTAATTTGTGTTATTTTAATTGTGTTTTAATAAAGAATTTTATTATTATTGTTCACTGTGCTATCTTTTTGCCTCACTCCAAATCAAGTATTATTTATTAATTCTTACAAATTAATTTTTTCCAATTCCTAATGGAGAAAATCGGTTCAAAATACATTACATATTAATAAAAAATACATTACATATTAATTTAAAAAAATTATATCAATGGTTAACATTGATTAAGAGAAAAAATATTGGGTGGGCTATCTTTTTGTCCCGGACCTTATATTTCTCAATGAGCATTCCTAATAATAAAATTAAAGAAAGAAGCATATTTTGTCCTTCATATGTTCACGGAAAAACTGCCGTTTCCAACCCAATCCATCCCTAACCCTAATCTAAGTCCAACGTAACTTTAACTTGACCCTATCCGCCCCTTTAGCTGAAAAAATTTTTCCGCCCAAAAAGATATCCATTTTAATATTTTCCTGTTTCTGTCTCTCCCTAAAATTTGTTTTGCTTCAAAATTTTACCACGGAATTCTTTATTTTTTCTTACTGTATGTATTTATGTTTGTGTGAATCTCTATGTATATTTATATACAACTTTATTACCGCGGCGTGATAATAACAAATTAAACGTTGGTCATTAATTCACATAAACTTAACAATTAAGATAAGCTTTCATTTTCGTCACAAATTTCTAAGATAAAGGTCAATTTAAATTAATTAATTTAACCTACAGGGGAGAAACATGCTGGTATGAGTAACAACAACAGTTGAAAAATTTATTTTACAAAAAAACAACAATACTGGCCAGTTTGTGGAATACAAATACCAAAATAAGGGCCTTTAAATTTTTTACTGGAATAGTACTTTTTGCAAAAAGAAAAACTATACTTTTCTCAAGTCTTTATTAACGTCATAAACTTTATCCTTTTTATTCTTATTCAATTTATGATTTTACATAAGAATTTGTACAATATAAAAAAACCTAACAGTAAAGTATAATTCAATAATAATCGGCTCACTGAAAGGTTTTTTGCACAGAGATATTTTGTCCCAAGAACTAATTAGCACAATTGAATTTTTTAAATATAATTCGCCCATAAATACGATGTACTCTATTTTCAATGGATTTATAAAATCCAAACGGGAGCACAATTTTCCAGAAGTGGAAACAAGAACAAAGGCATTATGTTTCTTAACAATACATTATCAAAGTTCAAAGGTAAAATTTCCTCGAAAAAGAATGAAACAATGAGTGCATAAAAATGTATTCTTTAAATTTGGTCAGGGCGTTCGAGGGAAATTTGGTTCAGAAGATAAAGGTACAAAATGATGCCAATTTTCCAATTTGGATCTAGTTAGAGATGGTTCTCAAGGAAGAGCAGAGTTTTCTAATTTTTTTTTTTTTCATTTTGTAATTATGAATTATACATCAGATTATCTCAGATCTGTATATTTGTTGGAGGAGAGAAGATTCCGAGCACGACGAGTATAAATCGTTGCCCGAATGACACGGAAAACAAGTAAACACAAAAAAAAATAATAAAGCCGTTCAAAAACAAGTTATATAACCACTTAATAAAAACTTTTAAAAGTTTATAAAAAATTTCTTTAAAATTAAATCATTAAATAAAAACGTTCTGTGTAGATCAAGGACGGCTGAACAAAACACAAGAAAACCCAAAAGACGCGATCCAGCGGTGTGATCAGTGGGTTCAGTGAAAACTTGGCAACTCTTAGAAAAGTTAGAAAATACAAACAAATACAAGTTAATAGAACAAGGGGTTTAACTAGAAAACAGGACATGTGTGCAGTTTGTAAATGCACAATTTTATATATCAATAATGCCATCTTGTTGAGGCTATTTTTTGCATACTGTTCTTATTTCTGATCCTTTTATCAGTTATTTTTTTGTTTAATTTGTTTCTCGTTTGCTCGGAATACGATCAGACGATAGTATCGCTTTTATCAGACCTAGCCTCTCTGATATTGCTCTCACAATAAATGTTACCTATTTTCATTCTGATTCATGATACTAAATGGATTCTTTGTTGTTTTAAAAGTTCTTAATTATATTTAAAAAAATAGTTTAGAGTTCATTCTGGTGGATATTGTTCAAACGGTTAGTTTCAAAACGCAAATTCATGAGTTTCTCATTTGCTTTTCCGTTTCCTTGTATTTGTTTTAGCATATTTAATATAGACAAGATGAACCCGAATGTTCGTCTTGATCCGGATCTGCACGGTGCCAAGGACGAGGGATTTCGCAACAGATTCGGAAAACCGTTTAATCCACAAACTCCAAAGCCCACCGGGTACGAGTAACCCTGAACAACGGGTAAGAAAGGACGAATGACGAACTGACAAACGCCTACACAGCTAACATAAATAGTTCACTGCCTGTAAGCATTCTAAGAGCCCGTAAATATACGAGAAGTATTTTTAAAAAGTCGTTTTTATGATTTTATATTATAAAAAAACCCACAGCCACAGGGAAAATTAACTTTAATTAGTAGCTAAATAATAACTTGTAGTTGGTTTATGAAAATATTAACTTTATGCTAATAGATACTTTCTTATTATCTTCATTATTGCAGCAAGAAATGGTATTTAATTTAGAGGTAGTTATTTTTCTTGGCGTCTTTTTTGGCTTTTTTATTCGCTTCTTTCTGTGAATGTCTGTCTTCTTAACTTATGTTAGTTTTTAAATGTTACTTTGGCTCTATGATTTGAACTCTTTCTCCCCTGTACTACGGAGAATAACGTAATTGCAAATAAAAAATTTGCTCCGACCTTAAGCTGGGTTTTCATTGCGCGAAAAAAATTACTCACGCATTTAAACGCGAGAATCACAGCGCGAACAAAGAAGTGTCCTTGTGTCTCTTACTCATTCTTCGATTTTTTTCTTTACTTTTGCCATTATAGACGACATTCCCGGACAAAACATTAATATTTCATGCTTTATACGATATTTTCGTTTCTTAATTCTAGGATCAAATATGAAAATAGTAATTTTTTAATACCTTAACCCCACAAATCTTCTTCACTACCCCAAGACATATAGCTTTGACGATACGCCTTCTGGCTTATTGTACTTCCTAGTTCCTTAGTTCAAAATTTGCCAGTCTTGTGAGGGTTTTTTTTAGCATACGTTTACTATGTCTTGCGCCCCTAGAGTTTACCCTTTTGTCTTTTCTGAATCCATTCTGTGATGGAGGATTCTGAATTGGTTTTTATTGTCCCAAGTATAGGCTCAGGACCTATTTATGGCCTTGCAGATCTCCTCTGGCCAGTGTGGCTGCTTTTTCTTTACCAAAAATTCCTTTGTGTCCTCGTACCCAAGCGGTTAGGTCAGGTTATTGTTTTTCCCCAGAGATTTTGGGTGCTTTCATTGACTAGTTTAATTCCTAGTAAATTAATTTTATAGTTCCAATGGGGTTCTTTGGCGAGAATTTTGTGGATCTTTTTGCAATATTTCCTTTACGATTCTTGTTTTGCCTTTTCGTATTGTATCCTGTTAGGGTTTTACTGTATTGTTCAGAATTCCCTGGGTTTTTTCTCTCCATTCCATAGTTTGCGAATTTTCTTCCTTAGTTCCAGTTTGTCATTCCACAAGCAGATTCTCCTGCTAGTTAGTTATTTTCCCCCGGCAGCTCGCCGAATTTCTCCCAGTTTGCGTTTCGGTGATTTCGATCCACATTATATGTTTTAAACATTAGTGTGATTTCCTTGTGTCGATGGTCTCAGTTTGATATCTCCCCAGACACTGCACTGGTTGCAATACAGCGGGTAGCTAGAGTAATATCAATAATTTCTTGTCTACCGTTAATTACAAATTTAGGTTCAAAGCTTTTATTAATAATACAAAGATTATTGCTGTTTCATACATCATTGTGCGACGTAGCATCAGCTCCAATGATTAACCGTAGGTCTTTTCTTTACAGTATTGTGTCAGGTCCTCGGTTTCCTTTGATGGTGGAGGCACAAGTGTTTATTTCGATTTTGATTTCTATAATTTATCGCGAATATTTTCACTCCAAGCGTTCTATGATTTGTCAGTTATGATGCACAAAGTTTTATAGAAGGTTGATAATAATGTTTAACATAGATCATAATCAACATAAAGAAAGCCTTTGGCTATTTTTGAATCTACCCGCCAAACAGTAGATATTATTCACCATTTACTTCGAAATTTCACCATTAAAATCAGTTTCCACAATATAATTTAACCTGTTTTTGTTTCGTTGTATGATTTGCGTCGTAACAATCTAGTTCAGAGAGCGGAAACAAACAGGAAGCCTGTAATTGTTTTATTAATACTCTGTAACAATTCTGGGTATGCTCAGCCAACGAGACAAGGAAAACAGAAACAATTTCAATATAAAAACGGAGTTGAACGGAAGAAAGTAGAATTATACCCTTTCCTTTTTCCTCTCGCCTTGGGAAAATTTAGACAGATACAGTCCGACGGCGTACGCGTGCTTTTATAAAAAATCATACGACATACCGTTCAAGGTGTTATTCCACTAACGCACAAGAGTAGTAAAGGAAGAGAAATGGCATCTCCATCGACATTACGTACATGTTCGAAATAAGAACTTCTGGTATCTTAGATATAGCTTTATTATATTATTTTGGTGAAAAAATGATGGTTGAGCAGAATAGAAACAAACAGAAAGTCTTGGACATTACTCGAGTAATTCTTGATTTTATCTTGCCAATTTACACAATATCGATATATAGATTGTAGTTTAATCTTTTTCTCCAGTCGCAAATCCTTGAAAGACTCCTTTTAAATTGCTTAATCTCATCTTAGGTACTACTCATAAAATCATCATCAACAAGGTTTTAGAGTTGTCGGCACTATCTCCTCTACTCTAGAAAATAAAGAGCTGCTTGGGTGTGTTCCTAGACGTAGTGCAGAATTTTGAAAGGGACTGGCACAGCAAGTTTTATTTCCGCTTTCTTCCTTCCCACTCCTTTCTGAAATCCTATCTAAGCGACCACTGCTTCAGACATAGGTGCGCCCACGAGTTCTTGGAAGTCAGACAGGGATAGGGATAAAAGAGGCTGCTACAAGGCCTTCTGCACCTCGACCTGAGTAGATCTATTGTGCTCCCCTGTTTTTTTATAACACACTGGACAGCTTCAGGTTGTTAATCAACCTCCATAGCCTTGCCAGCGGCCCCTTAGTGAGGATCTTGGTTGTGGTTTTTTTCTGTCCTAGTTGCAAGAATCTCCACCTACATAGGTCTTCACAGAAACATAAAATGTGTACTGCGGTCTCCTCCTCTTCCTGGCAGTATCAAGTATTTCTTCTGTCTGTACTTCTATCCGGTGCATGTGCCTTCTTAAGTGGCAATGCCCTGTCTGCTGTCAGGAGTCCAACCAGTATCCTAGTTCGGTTGCGGTTGCCTTCCAGTAAATCCTTTGTAAGTTTTGCGGATGGTCCTTCTAGGAATCTCTTAGCCTGTGGTATTGTTTCACCAGGTTTTTGACTCATTAAGGATCTATTTGTATCCCCTTTTGTGGCAGGCAGCTAAACCATAGTAGGATCAGAGAGCCCATGTTGGCCCCCTCTTTGGTCTATATGACATCCTTTTCGTTGCCTCTATGCCCTGATTCCCCAGGGACCCATGCCAAGGTCAGGTCATTATTGCCACTGACTTCTGTCAGGGCCTCCATGCAGTTTCAGACTCTTTTTGCCTTTATTTCGGATTAGGCTAGGGCCTTTAGTGCTGCCTGACTGTCAGAGAAGATGGCTATCTTCCGGGAATGTATCCCTAGCCGTTTTATTTCCGTTTTTAGGAAAACTGTAGCATATATACCTACCTGCCGTCAGTTCGGTCTTTGGATACATCCCGAAGACTCCAGCTCCCGTGCCCTCGGCTTTGCAGCCATCAGTGTTCCAGTAGGAGTTTGCCTTTAGCGGTGTTCCTTTGGCCCATTCTTCCCGTTCTGGTACCTTCTACGTGTTGGTAAAATTGTATTTTGGAGTAGTGGCATCGATTGGCATGCTTAATGCCTGAATCTCCTCCTTCAGTTTTCATTTTTATTTACATGGCCTATCCTTGCAGATAGTTGTCCATTTATGAGCCTGTGGGCGGCTGCACCTCTAGCATTAGTGTTAATGCTGTGTCCGAGTGAAAAAAAACGTTTTGTGATCACATTTGTAATATGTACTAATATGTGCAGGATACAAATAAAATCCTTTCAAAAAAATTTTGTTCTATCGTTTAATACATATGTCTATCGTTTGGTTTTTGTTTGGCGGTGTGTTGGTCTGTGCGCTTTCTCGTGTTTGTATCTTAAAATTCATAACTTTAACCTGCCAATTTACAAAAGCGGGTATTCATAATCGTTTTTATTAATTAATAAATTGTGACTTTTTTTAAGTCCGCTGGGTGATGACCATGAAGTTTGGTTGTTTACTGATATCCAGGCCTTGTTTTTTTGGGCTGGTGTAAGTGGTTTTTACACAAGCTTATTATGATGATGAAATCATATGTAAATTACAAAATTTCTTCTAGAAGTTTCCGAGGTTAAAACCTGTAGCTTCGTCGTTTATGATCATTTTGGTATGTCCATCCTCGGGTTTTTGTCAGGCAGAAGAATTTCAGCAATATGTCGAGCTATGCGCTTTCTCGTAGTTATTTTGGAACCAATTTTCCCATTTTAAATAGTAATTATTTTATTATTAAAATGTATTTATTCTTATAATATCAATAAAGCCCACTTCATAAATATTACTAATCTAAACTATTCTTTTTTATGTAAGATAAAAGGTAATAGTGAACACTTGAGGTAATCGTGACAAGCGGTTAGAACAGCGGCGTTTTGAGCCGAAGGTCGTAGGTTCGAATCCCGCTCGTGAATCTAACTTTTGCACCTCAACCAAGACCTTGCATAAAAAGAATAATTAATTGAAAGAATAATATAGTCAATTAGACCACTAAACATAAATGAATTAATTAATCTAAATGTCTAACCGATACATAGTTGACCTATATAAGGTTCGGATTTGTAGCGTCGGTTAGTTGTTAACACAAAATTTATTCTTTTATCAATGACCTATGCGATAAAGGACCAACAGTTCTATACCTTACATTCTAATAGAGACTTCCTTTCACGTCCATCAGCAACTAAGGAATGTACAAACCCTTTGGGTAAAAGCGTGAAAGCCTGGAGATTGGAATAATGGAATAGCACTGCAGATTTGCACTGTTGGCCTTTGTATAAACTTTAAAAAAAAATTATTTTCCAGGATTGCAATAACGACGGCGTTGTCGATTGCTTTGACTACGCGGCCATCCACATGCTCGGAGGGTACGGCTGCAGGGGCAATTTGAACCCTGACTTCAATTATAAATTCAACACCTGCCAGCAGCAGGTTGCACAGATCGTCTCCGGCACCGGAGGCAATGCTAACTGATGAATTCCTGAACAAAAAATACCTTTACGTTCATACGATGTGGTCTAAATTCAATATTTTTCCAATAAATTATTTATACGTTTGAGTTTTTCTGTTTGTCTTCCTTTCGTCTTAGTTCCTTTGAGCTTTTAAAACCAGGAACCATCGACCTTTAACTTTTCCTCACGTGGCAGGATCAGCCTTGGAAATCAAAAAGAGCATCCTCTCGTCTGAAGCCGACACGGAACCATTCACTTTCAAAACTAGCCATTAAAGTGGATAATGACGCGCGCTTCCAGTCCTCGAAATGTTTTTAAGGGCCAATGGTATTGGCAGATAAATTTATAAAATGAATGTTGATAATACAGGTAACTGTAGTAGAGGGAAGTTGTTACTTCGTTAGTTATTCCACCGACACCTGTTTGTGTATTGTACCTTTTATAATTAAAAGTATTATTCACGTTACTGCTCTTTTTATTGTTCCCGACAACAAATTGAAATATTAGCTTTTTTATTAGGAGAGTTTCTTTCCTCAACATTTTTGTGATTTGATTATAAAATGTTCCTTAGAAAACTGCATAGAATAATAAAGCACATATAAAAATTATTTGATAAAGCTTGTAAATTCGCAAAAATTCGGCATATTTCGTACATAAATTACAGGTTCATTACATTTCAGACTATCACAAGGAGAAATCTCACAATATTTGATGATGTTAAAATAATATCAGTTTTTCCAGCATAGAAGCTACAATAACAAGAATAATTGTGGGATTTCCTCAAGGACGTCAGAATATTGAACCTGTAGCTTGGTTGTTTCTGATTAATTTGGTTTGTCTATCTGCTATTTTTTGACCTATAGGGCACTTTTCGACTTTTTGCAATCAGTGGAAAGGCTGTAATAATTAAAAACATTATTTTTTTTCCTAGAGGTTAGAAAATATTTGTGTAATTTCATTAGGAAAATGAAAAATTGTATATCACATTTAATTAAGGGTTTTATTATTTCTAAATGTGTAAATCAAAAGTATGGTTTGCCTCAGTACACATCAAAAAATTAGTGGTTGAGCTAATACAATTGTCACATTTTGGATTTCCATTGGACACAAATATAAAAAAGACAAACATAATTTTAAAAAATTGAATTATTTTTGGTTCCAGCAAGGTTTAAGAGTTGTTGACACTGTTTCGTCTGCTCTAGAGAACAAAGAGTATTGGATGTGTTTCTGGCCCAGGCTTTTGATGGGGTCTGGCACCAGGCATTAATAAATTTAAACTCTACCCAAACCTTATTACTTTAGTATGGAATCCTATTTAAATGACTGCTGCTTCAGAGTGAGGTGCAGCAATGAGTACTCAAATATCAGTAACCTGAATCCTATCCAAGCAACCTACAACATCCAAGAACACCTTGAGCTTATCAACGACTGGTGCAAAAAGTCAATGACAAGACTCAAAGAGGGAAATTGTATTTTATTTTTTTACATTTAATTTGTGGTAGGATAGAAGATTTTTAGCTGCCGCTAATAAGACACTTTATCAGGAACTTGTAAAATAATTGAGATTATGTTCTAGCAAATCACCACTAACACAGCTCCTATGTTTTTACTGCTTGTAATTTTCCTGTCATTCATAAAAACCAAGTCATATCTTTAACATCAGGTCAAAGCCAACTTTCTGTTAACACAAAAATGTCACAATCTGTAATAGGAATCATTTTACTTATTACATCCAGTTTAGTATTTATACCTCTAACATTCTGGTAAAACATTTTAAGAATAGGGACATTGGGGGCATCGGTGGCCGCAATGGTTTAGGCGTTTTTTCAAAAACACTGGCACCCCGAGGGTTGATATGACCTCTGTTATTGCGAGCCCTCATGTACCAGCAAATGGTACCATTCCCTTCTTCCTATTATTTTTGGTATTTGGAGTTATTTGGAAATTTTGTTTGAACTAAAACATCCTGTTCATATCCTCTCTCGGGGCCATGAGTATCGGATATTCCTTCATTAGGCTGTTACTATCTCTCCTTTATCCTCAATATCATATAATGGAGGGGGATTAATCCCAATATTTTCTCTATACCATCTATAGGGCATGTTCTCATTGCTCTAGTAATGCAAAAAAACACATGCGAGTCTCAGTAGTTTTGTGAGTTCTCCATGTTTTGTTTTTTGCTTTAGTTTATCAGCCCAGGAAATTGTGCTATATTTAAGGATATGTCTCACCATCATGGTGCACATCCATAGCAAGGTCTGTCTCATGTTTTTCTTGCTATTCTTCTGCACACCAATAATGCTCGTGTCACTTTCTTAAGTGACTCAAAGCTTCTTTTTTCATTTCTATCACAATATTATTGAGTCTGGCTCATGTGATCCATTTTCTTTTTCAAGAAAAGCAACTATGATTGTTTTGTCAGGGTTAGTCCCTAACCCAGCAGTTTTACACCATTTGTCTGTGATTTTTTAACCTTCTTGGATTATGTCAGTGTTTCTTCTAATTTTTCTCTGGCAGTCAGGTCTATATCATCTACATAGCCCTGGCATTTTATCCCTTTCAGATCCAGAGTCCAAGCAGTTCGTCATCCATTAGACCCATTAGGAGATTGAACCCATCCTTGCAGACATCCTTTGATTGGACTAACTTGAATAAAATATTCTTTTATGCTTGTCTCAGCTTTCCTGTTTCTAACATTTCTCCAATCCATCAAGATATAGTGTGATCAATATATATTTTTTCTCAAGAGAAGCCTTCATAGATGCATGAGATGAATTAACCAAGGTTCTTTCAATGGAGATGAGCACGCAGATTGCTATTTCTTTAGCTTCTAGTGTTTCCTTCAGGTCACTGGTTGACTTGTAGAGCAATTTCTGATTGTCATCCTGCTCTGTGTGACAGTGATGGAGTGGTCAATACGGTTATCTGTCAGCTTCTCTAGTGCTTGTAATAGGAAACTTGTTATTGGTATGTAGGATTTGGGTAATGAAGGGCCTTTTTCCCTACTCTTGCTATTCTCTATTTTCCAGGAATTGGTTGTAGTACTGTCTGGAATATGTGTACTCAGAAGTAACATTACTTGTGCTTCTTGTGTAGCTTCCATCTTCTTTCTTCAGGGCAGTTTAAATCTACTCTATCCTTTGCTACTACTTTATGCAGTCTAGCTGCCGTTGATGCTGAGGAGATTTCTCCACAGAACTTGCCAAAGTTTTCTCTCTTTGCTCTGCGGATGGTATATCTAGTATGCCCAGTTTACATATCTACTCTTTCCTGCAGTACGGCCAATTTACAATACCCAATGTTGGCTTAATTTACATCTTGTGTACAAGCTAAAAATAAATTATTTTTAAAAACATTATTTTGGGAAAAATAAAAACACATCTATCAGTAGAAATAGTTTTAATATAATTATTATAACATAAAACTTTGATTTAAACACTAGTACTTTTATTTTCTTTATGTTTTAAAACTTATCAAAGTTTGATTCCAAATTAACAATGGTACCAAATGTGGTTTCAGTCGACCCAAATCATCATTTATATTACCAATTTTTCTATCCACATTGTGGACTGATTCATGATTAGTCGAAAAATCTACTTGCTGTCCAAAACTTATAAAAAATGGACCCTGACAGTACAACTTATGTACACATGGCATGTACCTTGAGCCGTAAATGGCACTTCAACAAATTCAAGATTTCAACAGTAAAGTACTTTTTTTCAAAAAGATCTTCTTGACACTTTTCCAAATCTGAACTAAATTAAGCCAGTTGAATTTGGAAAACCATTGGAATTTCTGGACTTATTTTATACATGATTCTAAACCACTATCTTCCTATATTATTTGAAAAACACAATTTTAACTTTTTATTCTAGATTTAAATTTGTCTTTAATGATTGTTCTTTATCATCCTGTTCAACAATCTCACTGCGATCAGATTGCTCAAGAATTCCACATCGAAGATGCTGACCAGCTTGATTTTCTATACTTCTCATGACTTTCTTTATAAATAGCAAAAGAGACAGTAGCAAAATACAGCATAAAGTCATCCGAAAATGGCAAAAGGTGAAAAGGGTCAGATCAAAATTTAATGGACTACCGAATTGCACAATATATTTAACAGTGTTTAATAATTTAAAAAAAAAACTTTTTTCAAATGAACAAAAATGTAATATAAATAAGAAGCCAAATTTTTAAAACAGCCTCTCTTCAATACATAATTAAATGCTCATTTTCCATTTCGAAAACTCCAACCCAACAAAGCACCATCGTCTGTTTTATGGCATAATTTGAAATTTAGGAACACAAACAAAATGTTAGTAGAATGTATGTTTAATAACGTTTTTGCAACAATTAAATATTTTTGTACAACAATAATACAAAGATTAAAACTGACTATTTAGAGACCATGCTCAGTCTTTAATAAATAGAAATAAATAAATTTCCTAAATTTTTGTCAACTAATTTTTCATTTTGAATTTAATCTCGTCCTTAATACTGTAAAACATAACAATTAATATTAAAAATGACTTTCTTACTTAATTTCATAAGTATAGATAATACTACAAAAGATCTGAAACTAGGATATTTTTTCTGATAACTTTGGACAATTAATACTTACAAATGAAAACAAATCACAATTTTGTTACTTTAAAAATTTAAAATTAATTATCTATTATAATGCTAACATTTTTTGTAATTATTTATCCTTCAATTGTATACTTTAACCTCCTTAACAGTTTATTTTTTATTTATTGCCTTCAATCAAAATTTGAGTGCTCTACTGAATAAATAACATCTTAACAAACAGTGTAATTTTTTTTTTTTTTTTTAATAGAAATAATACTAGGTGGCGAATACGTTCGGGTTAGATGAAGACTAGCAATAAAGGAACACATTAGTGTGCTATGCTGAAACCAGACTCAATAGCAGATGAGTGATCGTAAGACTCATCAGTTGGTGGCCAGTTATAAACAACAGGTAATGGGCTGTCATAATAATAGTCATACATGTTCGACTTGACAAAAGACACTTTGTCAACTGGTTCAGGATAAGTTGACGCAATGCCTAAAAAATTATTCAGTTAATTATGATATAATATTTTAGAAATTTTGAATGAAATTACCTTTGCAGTAGGCATACTGAGCAATCTGTACAGCAATGTCAACTGAGCAATCCCTGATCTTATTTAAAGGTGGGTAGAGACTTCCAGCTTCCAAATCCTGTTCTGTTACATGATCAGCAACACACTAAAAAAATTTAGTTGTTCAATATGGTTCATACGTATTCATATCAGTATCAACATAAACAAGCTGTTTAAATTTATTTGAAATGAGAGTGGGCTGATAATTAAAAGATTTTTTCTTATATTAATTAATGCACCTGAGCAGCAAGTAAGAAAATCTCCTCATTGATATGGTGGATGCCTGTAATGATGACCCCGAGTGCTACACCTGGGAAAATATAAGCATTGTTTCCTTGACCTGGCTTGTACACTTTTCCTTCATAGTTGACGGTGCCGAATGGGGAGCCAGATGCAAAAATGCACTTGCCCTAGAGAAAAAAAATTAAAATATTTAATGAAATTAAATGAAAAGTTTATTGTGGGACTTAAAATCCTCTTGAATAATTAATTATGAATATGATGATAAGCTAAGCATACATATAAACACATGTAAAGAGAAATCACCCTATTTTGGAAATTAAGCTAAAAAGAGATAATTAAAAATTTTCAGTGCCAAGTTAAGGACAAGGGGTAATCAAAGAGACCGGGCTAATAACCCACATATGAGACCCCGATTCCGACTTCCCCATGGAGCATGGGGTTTCATTAGAGATCCCAGGCCATTTTTGCGTCATTCTGGTATTGTTCTATTGATGTTTGAGAAAATTGGCTGCGAAATTGTTTTTAGACTTTTTTGCTTTTTAAAGGTTAGATTTAATTATTTTTATTATACATATCATCACAGAATCGATGGATAGAATGCTGATATATTTTGTGATTTTAAAGTTTTGAAAAGAAAAGCATCTGAAAGTTTAACAGTTTGGTGTTTTCGTCAGCTATTGGTCTCTTCATTTCATTTGTAAGTAACTTAATTTTTAAAGAAATTAAATTATTATAATGTAAATATAAAAATGTATTTCTATTTTTCAGGGTTTTATCAATTTTTTAAAATTAGTTTTTGCTAAAATTTTGAGTTTTACAAGAGAGAGCTGTCAAATGAAGAATAAGGTAAAAATTGTCACTTGTCGAAAGATGCTGAAATTGGCCTTTCGCCTCTTCTAGAAGCTGAACGACCTCCAAATGGACATAATGGTCTATAGTGCTTTGAGAATATCCTAACCAACGCGACCAGTCCTTCATCCTCCTACTGGCCGTTTTCCTACTCTACCTTTAATGTCTGAGGGACAAAAAGGGCAAATCAGCAAAAGAGCTGTACAGCAAGGTAAAAGGAGAACATGCACAGGCCATAACAGTGGTGACAGAAAATTTGACTGTGGAGTTTGTATGTGTTTGTACAATTAGTTTGTAAATAATTCAAATTTATTGTGTATATTTTTTATTAATAAAAATTTATTATAAATTATTATTTTTATTTTTTTAATGAATTTTCACCCTTACTGCCTTAAATAATGACAAAACAACTTTATTGTAGATGTTGCTGCATTACAAAAGAAAATAAGAAACTTAAAATAATAAACTACAAAAAACATAATAGGTGAAACTAGGCACTGTGTTGGTTGCATAACGTAGACGTTACCTGAGGCAGCATATTTCATATGAGACCCACCTGTAAATATAATTATTCAGAAATGGTGAGATGCAGTCTGGTGTGTGATGTAGGTTTAGAAAAACAGTTTCTTTATTGTGCCAACATTTCGATCTTTATTAGATTATCTTCAGGGCCTAGGATGTACATTATTTAAATTTGACAAGTACATGTAGGATGTGGAAAAAAGTGAATTTATACAATGCAAAATATATTTTTTATTACAATTAATTAAGGTTTTTAGTTGAGATAAAAAAGTCAATGGCACGAGCGGGATTCGAACCCACGATCTTCGGCTTGATACGCCGCTGCTCTACAACTTGAGCTATCATCACCTCCATCCACTCGGACACAAACTTCCCATCTCAACCTTTTGAATTTTTCCTCCTTTATTTTTTATCTCAACTAAAAACCTTAATTAATTGTAATATATTAATTGGTCAAGCGGACCACGAAATTAGTGAATATATTTTTTATATTCAATCAAAGTATTTCTACTCATTCAATGTGTTAGTCTTCGGTGTAATTGTGTCATTCTTGTGTGTCGTGTGAGAGTGCCAGTGAGATATTGATGTTTTATGTTTATATATGTTGGATTGAGGTGAAAAGAAGCCGACGCCTTATACAAAAATGTCTTTTTTATACCGACTTCCTTTCCCACCCCTTCAAAATCCAACATATATAAACATAAAACAGCAATTTCTCACTGGCACTCTCAACACGACACACAAGAATGGCACAATTACACAGAAGACAAACACTTTGAGTGAATAGAAATACTTTGATTGAATATAAAAAATATATTTTGCATTGTATAAATTCACCTTTTTCTACATCCTACATGTATTTGTTAAATTTAAACAATGTTTGTAAATCCCAGCCCTGAAGATGATCTCAATAAAGATCAAAACATTGGCACGATAAAGAAAATGTTTTTCTGAAACCTACATCACACCAGACCGTATCTCACGATTTCTGAATAATTATCAACTAACGGTCACCACACATGTAAATATAATTTAGTTAAAAGATAAAGTGGGGGAATAGGGGCGTTGGTAGCCACAACAGTTAAGTCCTTGAGACGGTGCTCATCCAGTGACCCTGCATTCAAACCTGACATAAATGGGCTTATAATTTGGGCTAGGCATATAAGTAAGGAAGTTGATTCCATAGGATGGAGGTAAGGATGAGGAAGTAATGACTGAACACAGTAGTTGTTTTTAGGAGGATAGAGATGAGTAGAGATGGAGCAATTTTGGGAGTGCACCAGGATACAAAAAGGATCTAAAGGTAAGAAGGGGAGGGACAGGACTGGGGTCCTCGGAGAAGCCAAGGAAGTATTGGTTTAGGTAGGAAGGAACCACTTAAAATGGTGTACAAATCAATCATGTGGGATCTCCTTGACTTACACACTTCATAAGACATTTAAGCTTATCTTTAACACTTTCAGCCCACTTGGCGGTTGGTTGTGCAAGCTAAAGAACCCAGCCAGTGCCTCCTGGCGCTGGCTCTCTCTTTATTTTCGTTTTGTTGTGGTGGGTCTGGGTTTTTATGAATTCCCTTTGGTTTCTAGTTTCCTTATATATATGTATTTTACAGGGTTGGCAACCAAGACCCGAGGGGTTAAATGCCTGGGTAGACTCGTACCCCATCCCTAAAAGGTCCGGGACTTGGTCGGCTCACGTGTCCTGCATAAACCTCTTGGACCTGTTCACAAACCCCAAGATTTTGGACCATTTAATCTCGGGAAGTGAATTGGTGATGTCCTCTCCTTCAAAGAGTTTCTACCCTTAGATCTAGTTGAGTGCCTGGTTTCGACCTGTGTTCATCGTTTTCAGATCCACCCACCACTGGCTTCATTTTAGTGCACAGTTTGACAAGTGACCTTCACTTCACAGATTGTTAAAAATAAGATCAGTTCTATAAAAATAAAGCTAATTTTTCTCATAATACAGATTTCTTCATTATAACAACTTAAAAAAAGCCACAAAAAAAAATTTAAAAACTAGTATTTGGAAGTTGTGAGTTAATCATTGGCTAATGGTCACTAAACACCACACATTTAAAAATTAAACTTTTAAGTTCAAAATTATTTAAAATTCGTATTTTTTGCAATTTCTGTTATGTATTTTTTTGTGTGCTTTTTTAAAATCATCTTGGAGAAAAAACAATTGTCTCCATAATTTTCATTAGTGACAAATCACACATTTATAATTATGTATGTAGTATTGAGATGGCAGTACCCCAGCCAAAAAATAAAACAGAGTAGCACATACTTTTTCTAAATAAACTGATTTATAATTTTTATGTAAGGTGTGGTTTTTAAACTTTTAACAGTTTTAAGTGTTTTATTTTATTTTATTACAAAGTGTATTTTATCAATTCTTGTTTTTTCTTGATCCCCTTTTTTCTTATAGGAAGAAGAAACTTCACGTAGCAAAAAAAAATTAAAAAGGTGTATGATTTAAAATAATATGACCAATCAGGAAATTCATGCTATGTTAGAATGTGTTGATTCTGACGATGACAAGCAAGATGATGCTCAGAAGAATAAAACTATTTTTTTTTTTTTAATTTTTTTTTTTTTATTGGCCTTATGATCTTGCATATTTAGCCATAGTACGAATTCTTGTGTGTTCAAATTGGGGGTTATCGGGAACAAAGGGCCAGAGGCGACGGTGGGAATCGAACCCACGACCGCGGCGTGAGAGTCTCTCATGCTAACCACTCGGCTACCGCGGTCCCCATAAAACTATTTCACCAGTTAGTAATTACAAAAATTTATAATTTTTTCCCTTCAGTTAATAAGTTTTATAAGTTGAAAAATTTATATTTTTTACCGTCTTAATTTTGACATTTTTGTTAAATTGTTTTATTAGTTCTGTATGTGTACCTAAATTTTTATTCTATTAATTTTATACTTTTACTTTATTATTTTATTTTATATAAATTTTGTTTAATGTATTTGTCCTTATTAATTATAAACTGATTTTACTAAATTGTTTGTTTTATAACATATATTAGATGTATTTGTTTTACAGTTGTTTTATAATATAGCTTTATTAGAATCGTCCTATACCTAATCATTAACTTAATCTGTAAAGGTGTTAAAGGTGTTCCAGCCCTTTAAAATTGCAGCTTGTAAGACAGGAGGTGGTCATCTGCATAAAGGTGATGGGAGCAATACCGTATGTATTTAGGGAAGGCATTAATGTAACAGCAAGAAAGTAAGGCCAAGTTGCTGAGCCTTTAGGGACTCCAGAAGTGACAGGGGAGAGATGGTTTGAGGCGTCTTTGGAAGGGAGACTATTTGGAAACGGACAGCAGAATAGAGTGAAACAATAGAAGACACTGTGGGAGAAAGATTAAGGTTTAGTAAGAAGTACGTTTATATGGTATCAAAGGCTTTAGAAATATCGCGAAGGTAAAGAATGGTAATTTTCTACTAACAGTATATCAGTGGAGACTTTTAGAACAGCAGATGGTGTGGAAAATCCTATATTTAATTGTGATCTACTATCTATGATAGTAATGTCTAATGTCACATCTCACCTTAGTGTGAGTGTAAGCGTCTTGCGCTGTACACTCTGCTTTACTTGTCGGATTACTCAATGCAAAAATAACAGGCCTGTCTGAATTCTTGGCCATTTCCTGAAGGACCTCAGGGGTGAAGGCTCCAGCAGCTGCTGAAGCACCTAAAACCGTCAGAAAATAAAGTCAAAATTTGCTTTTAAAAATATTCAGGCATGTTCTATCGCATAATCTAAACTTTCTATCTATGGTTAAATTAATCAATTAAAAGCCATAAAACAATTACCAATAAGAATTGTAGGCTTCACTTCTTTAACTACATCTAGAAGATTTTTAACGACAGCATGTTTTTTCGCATAGGTAGCTTTATGTCCTAAAAATTAATTTAAAAACAATAAACATCATTTTCTCAAATCACACTATATTTAAATGTATTAAAATGTTAACCTTCAAGTTTTCCTTCGGGCCTTCCAATCGCCAGAAGACCGTCGATATCCATCATCCAAATCTTGCTGACTGCTTCTTCTTTTGATGTACCCTCAGTTTCCATTGCTTTGACACAAAGGTTTGCAATGCCAAGTGCCGCCTGCATTAAATGTACTTAAAATCGGCACAACTTTGTAAAAATTAATAAATACCTCTCCAGCACCGAGGAAAACAAATTTGTTTTCAGAAATTTTTTTCCCAGTTATTCTCCTCGCAGCGAGCAAGCCGGCAACTGCCACTGAGGCCGTACCCTCGATGTCATCATTGAAGGTGCAATACTGGTACCTATACTTTTCCAAGAATCTAAAAGCGTTGTGGTTGCCAAAGTCTTCAAACTGTTGAAACGCGCATAATAAAATAATTAAAAATGTAATTATAGATTTTGATTCTATGAAATACCTGAATGAGGGTATTTTGTCCATAACGTTTTACAACAGCTTCCATAAACTCATCAATCAAGTCATCATAAGCTGGTCCAGTTATTCTCTTCTGCCTCAAACCTATGTAAAGAGGATCATGAAGAAGTTTCTAAGCAAATAAACAAACATTTTAGACGTTAGAAATCAAAAGAGAATAAAATAAGCAATATTATTTAGAATAAATGATAAATATATTTTTAAAAAATCTCAAATCCATAAATAATATTATTACATTTGAAAGGATATACACAAATAAATTAAAAACAAACTAACATGCCTTGTAGAATTCAAAAAATTAAAATAAATAATTTACATCAAGTTTTACTAGATTCAAACTAACCTCATTGTTAGTTCCTACATCAATGGTGATTGGCAGACACTGATGAGGTTTGATCCCTGCGAGGGCTGTGTACAGAGCCAGCTTGCCGACAGGTATGCCCATACCACATGCTCCTAGGTCACCGAGACCGAGAATCCTTTCACCATCAGTCACCACTATTGCCCTCACATCTGGCTCAGGCCTGTTTGGCAAATTTGTTCAAATAAACAGCTCAGCTCATTGCTGAAAAGACGTACCAGTTCCTGAGAATGTCATAGACATGGTTCTTATCATGGATCGTTATGAAGAGCCCCCTTGGCCTTCGGTACATCAGGCCGAACTTCTGGCAAGCCAACCCGACAGTTGGCGTGTACACAATCGGCATGAGCTCCTCGACATTCTCAGACAGAAGTCTGAAGTAGAGTCTTTCATTTCTATCCTGGAAATACAAAATAATTAATGGAACAATTGTTTTAAAAAAATTAAGAAAAAAATTGGACATACGTGAAGCTCAGCCAGATATAGATATCTATTCAAATCTTCTTGATATTTGAATAAACTGTACTTGCAAACTGCTATCTGCTGCTCCTGAGTCTTAAACCTAGGTGGCATCAGACCATGGATCCCAAGTGCCTGCCTTTCTTTTAAAGAAAATGCTAAGCCCTACCAACAAAAAATTGTATTATTAAATTACATCAATTTTTTTACATTGCTCTTAATGCTTTAATTAAAAATAAATTTAAAAAATGGGCAGTGGCTGAGTGGTGAGGATGAGTTGTATTTGCTATGCTAGCAGTCCTGAGTTTGAATCCTGGCATAGCCCATGGTTTTTTAGTATGAAAAATGAATTACAAAGTGATGACTCCTTGACCGTGACACCCAATAGGTATAACTAAAATGTTAAGCTCTCCTGTAAGACAGGAATTACTTTACTATCTGCTGCACCTGGGTCTTGCCTTTCTGTTAAAGAAAATGCTAAGCTCTAACAACAAAACATTGTACAATTAAATTACATTGATTGTCTTGCATTGAGCATAATGGTCAATTACAAATCATTTTCAACTTTTTTTTTAAACGAGGGTATTTGAACCACGAAGTTATATGAAGCCTCAGGGTACGAGTGTTTTTGAAAAAGCCCATTTGTAAGTATGTCAGGTTCGAATGCAGGGCCACTGGATTTGAACCTGGGACTTTACCTTACAGCTGGGTCAATGCCTAAATGTTGCAGCCACTGACACACCCCTAGTAATAAACCAATAAAGACACCACTAGGTGAAACCAAAATTTAACTAATCTCTTGCATATAATGATTCGTAATGGTTGGACAAGTTTGTCCAATTGTAATAAATAGATTTTTTTAAATATATATCATGCTGTAATGTGTTCAGATTTTAAGAAACATGTAAACACTATAAACTGCCTGTAATCAAAGCTTCATAGTTCAGTTATTAAAAAAATTAATTCTCGCTGAACAGGAAAGAAAAAAAAACACATGGCAACACCTTTAATCTAACTTCAGTAGTAATACAGCATAAATTTGCTAATTTAAACAATAGCTGGCCTCTTAGATAAAGAATTATAATTCACCTTGTTCAAACGAGGATCCCTCAAGTGGTCAATTCCCTGGATCATCGCCGGGCAGATGATGTCCCCAGTCGCTTCATGGTACCCTCGCAAAACCATACTCCAGGCAGGAGTTACAGTTTCAATTTTGCTGAATAGAGTTCCATTTCTGATTGCCCGACTTCCACCAGCTCCGAGCCTGTAAAAAAAAATAAATTAAATAAATAAATAAAAATAAAAAACAGTCTTTTAAGTCTTTTAAGTTACACTGCCACATGTGATATGTATAATTCCATTTATTTTAGGTGGAATTAGTTGTTCGAACATCTGAACCTTTGATTAGCCAAGCTAGCAGTTCTGAGTTTGAATCCCGGCATCCTCGCCTTGGAATTTTATATGAAAATTATTGGGAAAAAAGCGTAAAATGGTGTGATACCTCGTCCATGATATCCATCGTTAATGAGACATTAAAGCCTCCTCTATGACTGACATGAATTACCTTTTTCCTTTAATTATTGGTTTCAGTTGTTATGAATGGAATAAATTTGAATTCAAGGTCTTTCAGTAAAATTGAGTTATATAACAATTTAAATAGAACAAGCAGTAGGCCTTAGTAATGAAAAAACTCCTGACCCTTAAGAAAAATTATTGCAATGATATACATATTATTGACCATGCATCTACATTTACAATGTCAACTCTCAAACTGTTGAAATTGCTTTTTGTTGTGTGAACTTTATTTGTTAAACTGTTATGAATTTTATTCATTTATATTGTCAACTGGTAACATTCTTGAAATTTCTTTGTCATTAGTTTTCCAATAGAGGCACATTGAAAGAAACAAGATGATTGATTCACTTCCTTATCTTAATTTTACATTATAATTCCATTGTGATAGAGAACTGGTTGTTTTTAACGCATACTACTTTATCCAATAACCTTGTTAATTGAGTCAAAGTTAATAACTAGCATGATGAAACAAAAAATCATTGTGTTCCTTTAAATGCAATAAAAAATAAAGGACTTCAAGTGTAATTAATAAAGAAAACTGCAGTTAAATCGCCTTTAAATTGAATTAAAAAGTTTTGTGACCATAAACAATTAGAAAGATTTTAAAACAACTTCTATTCACAAAATAATTGTGTGCTTCAATTTTGAAAATGCCAATGTATGAACCCTTTAGGCACAGAATATGTTTGGTTTTTATTAATGAACTGAACTGAAGATAAGCAACAAAATACTGAAGGAGAAAATACTTTAAGTTATTTATAGAACTGACATAATATCACTGCAATAAGCAAATAATTGTGTGCTATTACCATAAATCAAAGATTAAAACTGTCTTAAATAAAATTTTGTATCTAGAATTTTAACCCCAACCTTAGAGGAAAAGTGGAAAAGCTACATAAATTGGTACTTTGTTCATTTATCTATAACTTCTTCCTTACCTTTCATAAACAAAACAATCCATATTTTTGATAGAATATTGGACTTTTGATGAAAAATGATTTTGTACAATTTTAGGATCCTTGGTACTTTTTTCATAAAGGTATTTCAAAATGAACAAAGTAAATTCATTTAATAGAGAGTTAAATGTGTCCATTAGTTTGAAAACTAGAAAACGAAATAATTAATGGTGACAGGTTATTTTTTGAAGTCCGCTGTTCCTTTGTGTTATATGGAATATGGAAATTGAGCAGAATAATTAACTAAATTGTTTACATTACATGCCCTAGAAGACAAGGTTTCAAGTCCAGTAAGATCACACATAAAGTCATAAGGATTATAAGGCATAAGAACTTTTTCAGTATATCTTCCAATTCCTACTTAAAGAGTTGAGATCAGAATTCCAGGTCCGTACCAGTCACTAAGACTACAAAAACAGGAAGAACTAGAGTTTTAAAGACAATAAAAGAGTTAAAATTTTAATTGAGCTGTTAATAAAATTGAATATGTGATTTACTTTCTTTATAATGCTTCCAAAGTTATCTCTTGTGTGAACTACCGGGAATTGTTTAATGTCAAAACATTTAAAAAACCACCGGAACCAAGGGTTGATATAACCTCTGCTGTTGGATACCCCATAAAAAATAAGGAAAAGAAAAACAAGATAGATAAATGGGTACTACCTTCACATCTAAAAACAGATCCTCTTTTGGCTAGAATCATCAACTGTGATATTTAAAAAAAGGACTTGTCAAATAATGTTATATTATAAGGCTTTACCCTGATGAAGAACCTTGGAAATATCCTAAACCTGACCTCTATATGAAAAAAGACTCGGCATTTTTACTGCCAAAGTTATTTTCCACTATGAGCTTTTTGCCTCAGTTCAAATGAGATCTATACCATTTTAGATGTGCATAATTTTGTCATGGGAAAGACCTACTGTGCCATTAATTAAAAACTTAAACATTTGGATACTAATAATCAAGATAACGGTTACCTGCACACCGCAAAAATTAACATCATCTCCCTTCTATCTTGTCTAAGGCAGGACATTTTTGAAAATTGATATAGTCATGAATTAAAGTTGACTATATGTGACTATATATGACTTCCAGAAAGAACGATTTTCAAACTTGTTTATTATTTGAAGAGGGAAATTGAAGCTAATGGAGTATTACAATTAATTAAGGTTTTTAGTTGAGATGAAAAATAGTTAATGGCACGAGAGGGATTCGAACCCACGACCTTCGGCTAGATACACCGCTGCTCTACCACCTGAGCTATCGTGACCTCGATCCACTCGGACATCAACTCCCCATCTCAACCCCACCTTATGAGTTTTCCCTTCTTTTGCCATTTTTCAATACGGTGACAGGTTCAATACGGCGTATCTCGGCATATCGAAGGTCGTGGGTTCGAATCCCTCTTGTGCCATTAACTTTTTTTCATCTCAACTAAAAACCTTAATTAATTGTAATGTATTAATTGTTCAAGCGGACCACGAAATTAGTGAATCTAATGGAGTATTTTATTCATTGATTAAAATATTATTTTGAGACAATAAACTTGAACATTTGTCTACTTCTTTCTTAAACATCCTGCTGATCCATTATATCCATCAGTCAGATAGAATCACAAGAAAAAATTAGGAACAATAAATAATTTTAGGTGTTCATACCAAAGACATAGGCCTGATGAAGAACTAACTGACTTTCAACTGAATAAAATTACATACTAATTTAATGGACTGTCAAAGTACTGAGCATCTACCTCAAATCGTATCAGGAGAGATATAGTGCCATTTCTGAACTGTTATCATTTGAAACTTAAAAATTTATATGCAGGCTTAGTTCAATAAAATAGTCCTTCAGGATAACACTCGCATGTTGAAAAAATTATAAGGGAAAAATTAATGGCAAACTTTGCAACAACCTCCATGCTTCCCAGAACTTTCGCCAACAAATTTCATATTTTTCAACCAAAAAAATGTTGAAAACTGACCAAGTCATAAATCGAAGCTGACTCCTTTTTATGATTTTCAAAGTAAAGATTTTTTTCACAGATTTAGCTAATTGAAAAGGTTCATCTGACTTTTAAGATAATGCCAACCCACACAGTAGAAAGTAATGGAAAAGTATTTGGAACCTTTGCTACTCCCTCCATACTCCCTCGATCTGCCACCAACAGAGTTCAGAATTCTGAACGACTGACAGGCAGAAAAATACTGAAAACTGACAAAGTCAGGAATTACAGCCGATTCCTTTTTGACTTTCAAAGTATGTGTTTTTAACAGGCTTAGTTAATTAGTTGATTAAAATTGGCTCATCTGTCCTTTAGGATCAGTCACAATGCAAAAACCAATGGACTTTTGGTTGGGAAACTTTGCTAAAGATGCTGCTAAGATACTACCCAGATCTTCGCCACCAGATTTCAGAGTTCTGAAGAATAGAATTAAACTGAAAAATAATGAAAACTGAAAAAGTTATGAAAAAAGCTGATCCCTTTTTATGACTTCCAATATAAAGAATGTTTTCAAATCAGGCTTAGTAAATATAAAAGGCCTGCCTGTTCTTTGAGGTAACAGTCACCCACCATTAGAAAATTAATGGACGGGAAATTCTGCCACATCCTCCATATTCTCCAGACCTCTCACTAAACTTTTACAGGTTCTTATATAATTACAGCTTTAGACAATAGACTTAAGCAGAATAATTATGAAAAACTGACAGTCACAAATCAAAGCTGACTCCTTTTTATGACTTAAAAAGTAGGGCCTTTTTATTAACACGATTAATTAATTGAAACTGCTCATCTATCCTTAGGATAACGCTTACCAACAATGCAAAAATCAATGACGTAAATTGAAAAACTTTGCTACATCTTTCATACCCCCCAGAACTGTTGTCAACAGATTTCAGAGTTCTGAATAACAGTCTCAGGCAGAAAAATACTGAAAACTGTCCAACTCATTATATGACTTACATTACAGTTCTGGACAATAGGCTTGGGCAGAAATATATTCAAAAGCAGCAAATGTCTGGAATTGGAGTTAACTATTTGACCAGTTGAGAACACAATTTTTTTTCTTTTTTTTTATTGTCCTGAGAGAAGACACCTTATTACATATATACAAGAGACCTTAGTCACCCCGGAATTTAAACATTTTCATATAGGCTTCGTTAATTGAAACATTTTAAACTTTCGCTAACAGATACATTTTGTAGGTATATAATTACATCTCTAGACAATAAGAACATAGGCAGAAAAATATTAAAAACCGGAAAAATGTCTTTAATCAAGTTGAACCTATGAGTCTAGGGTAACTACCAAGATGTGCCTTTGTGCATATATCCTGAGACAGGACACCTCTAGTACCATCCTGAACAGGTTTCATTAAAAACTGAAACTTTTGATGCAGGTGAATCAAAAAGACCAGGGTAATACTCGACCACAGCAACATAAGGGATTTTTTAATTGAAAGTGATTGTTGTCCTTTATAATAACACTCGCCCATCAGGAATAAAACTAACAGGGATTGGTCGCGAAAATTTACATCATCGATACTCTCCAGACCTGTCGCCTACATTTCACCAGCATATACTCTGGACGATAGCTATCAAAAAATATTCAGAACTTGAAAACAATCATGAATTGGAGTGGACTCTATGTCTAGACAAGGGGAACTACTGAGCATGTACCTTTGTCAAGTGAATAAGGCTTGCCTAATGTAGATATAACTGAATTAACCAAATAGTAAATTTTTTTTATTTTTTTTAATTTCAGCACACAAGTTATGGCATTGTTTTTAATCTATCAAAATAGTTCACTCGGTGTCAAAAAATATAATAAACATACAATATCAAGTAGTGGCATTATTTTTAGTTCTATGTGAACTGAAGGCAAGAAGAAAGCATAATAATTTTTATTTAACTATTTTAACAGATTAATAAAATAGAGGAAATTTAAATTTTCTTGTTTGTTTCTCCCTTAAATCTGTCTAGTGATTTTCTGTACAGTGAAAGCTCCGTGGAAAAAATATTTTCAACATAGATATGTAAGACTAAAAAAAGAACGGTGCTGGCAAAAATAGTTTTCAACGGCCTCTCCTTAATAGTAAATAATCTCTCGACGGGAAGTAAAAACGTACGGTGATACTCACTGAAACGCCCTTGGTATGAAGGAGTTCATGCTGGTCGGCGACTGTCGATACGAATGCCGGGAACCGTTCGCCGAAGTGGGTTGACTTTTTGTCTCTTCCAAGAAAAGAGCGAGGAGAAGCGGACGACGGGACGTGAGGACACCACTGAGGTCCGCAGATAGCCTTCGACGATTGGCGCAGGCCGAAGATCAGCTGCCAGCGCCAGCTTCGACTTCGAGTAACCTTCTCCCCCACCGGGATCCATCGACGTAGGGACCAATTTCATCGATTCAACTTCCCCTACGTCCTCAGGAAAATCTCGTTGATTATGTTTTTCTGAAGTGGAGAAATAACAAAATACATAGCACAGAAAACATTTTATTCGAAAAAAAAACCATCTCCATTAGATTCAAATAGCTTTTCCCAAAAAGAAATAGAGATCAAAAATATCTTTTTGAAAAAAAACCCTTATTTTGGGTGCAATAAAAAGAATCGTCTCTAAATCCAGACTTTCATGCTGGTTTTCAAGCATTTTTTACCAAAGATTATAAAGAATGCAAAATATCAAGAACTGAGAATAAATAGTAATTCACAACTTTCGTGGTCCGCTTGACCAATTGATACATGACAATTAATTAAGGTTTTTAGTTGAGATGAAAAATAGTTAATGGCACGAGAGGGATTCGAACCCACGACCTTCGGCTAGATAGCTCAGGTGGTAGAGCAGCGGCGTATCTAGCCGAAGGTCGTGGGTTCGAATCCCTCTCGTGCCATTAACTTTTTTTCATCTCAACTAAAAACCTTAATTAATAAATAATAATCTCGACAGCTCAGTAGCCGCTCTGACTCATCATAGTCAACTCCAATTCCAGACTTTTTCGGTTTTTTGAATACCTCACCATCCAAGCCTATTGTCCAGAGCTGTAATTATACATCTGCCAGAAAAAGTTTGGCAATAGGTCTGGAGAAATTGGGGGATGTGGCAAAGTTTTCCATTCTATGCAGGCACATTAATTTTGCAGTGCGTGGACAAGTGTTATCCTGGTCTTCTCGGTTACATAGGCCTGTATCAAATATTTTCAATTTTTAATTAAAACTGTTCGGAATGGACTGAATGTGTCTCATCTCAGGATACATGTTCAAAGGCACACTCAGTAGCTGCCATCGACCAGTCCCAGAGTCATCTCCAATTTAATTTTGCTACTCTAGTCTGTTGTCCAGAGCTGTAATTATATACAGTATACTTGTAAAAGTTTAGAAACAGATCTAGAGGATATGGTAGTTTTCCGACCAATACCCATTAATTTTCGTATTGTGAGAGAGCATATCCAAAAGGACAAACGGACCCTTTCCATTTGCTAAGCCAGTTCTATAAAAAATTTCTTACTTTGAACGTCATAAAAAGGAGCCAGCTTCTATTCGGGACTTTGCCATAATTATAGTGGGCTATTGTTCAGTACTTCCAAAACTGCTGCTGGCTGACAGATCTGGGGAGTATCAAAGTTTTCAGATGTATCAAAGTTTTCCATTAATTTTCCCCCATAATTTTTGATATGTGCTTCTAAGCCTGTATATTTTGCAAAATTATGCATATCTAAAATGGTACCTGAGGCAAAATTCATAGTGCACAATACTTAACACTTGAGAAAATACTGAGTAAAACATTTTACAAATAGTGGTCAGGTTTTGGAAATTTCTTCATCAGGGCAAAGCCTTCACAAAATAGCCTAAAATTATTGTACAGAACCATTTTTTATCACAAGTGATGATTCTAGAAAAAAAATTGTTTGTAGTAAGAAACCAGAACAAGGCTATTTGGCAACATAGATTATACCAATTGTAACTGAATTTTTAATTTTGCCATTTCATATGAAAATTTTTCAAAACCTTTTTTGTTTGGAGATGATTGGAGTGTATGGAGGATGAGACCAAAAGTTTCCCATCCAATGTCCATTATTTGTTGGAATGTATAACGAAGCATGTTAATGTTAAAGTAAATCTTACACGTAAATTTTAAGCCTGCAAATCTTAAACATGCCTGTCTATTATTTGTGATGGTTTTGACTGTGGGCAAAAGCGCACAGTGCAAAATACATAGTTCATATGTACTTAGTTATAGGATAGAAGAAATTTAATATTTTTAGAACTTTTAACCAAAATTCAATAACCACTTATGATCCTCTAGTAATTACACTAGGTGTCACCACTGCTTCAAAATGGTCTCACCTTCCATGTTGCAGCCGATGGGCTCAACCTGCTGAGTACTGATGCCTATTTCAAACTCCTCAGTGAGGTCGCAACTCTTACAACGGTTCTGCTGCATTGACCATTGGCTCTGAATCCTAAGGCATATTTGGAAAGAGGGAAAACCCCAGGCACTAAATCCATTATAAAGAAGGCAAATATTGTACTAGATTTTAGTATTTCTCTTTATAAACCCTAGTTTGTCATTTGTTGTGCGGTCATTTGGAGTTACTATCATTTTCCAGTAATGCATTGTAAACTGTAGAAAACCTATTCTTATGCATCAATCAAAAGGATTTAAATTGCTACAATTTATTTAAAGGAAAAGCTAATTTATGCTTTGAAGATTTGAAATTTGTTGGTGTATATTTCTACTATGTATTTTGGCAATGATTTGGGTAAAATTCAATATTTGGATCACTTCCTGGATTTACGATTTGAGCTTTCTAGTTCATTAATGTCTGCAGTTCAAAATGTGATATCTTTGTTCGTTGTAAAATTCATGAGTTTATACCCTATAAGAAGTCTTCTCTCAGTTCTGCTGCATGTGTTGTATTTTTTGCAGTTAAAATAAAAAATTTAAAAAATATTGTCTTCTAGGGAGGAGTATAGCTTAAAAGTCTGACAGTAAATGAGTCGAGGTTTATTCATATCTTTTGTATAATCTGCACTGATTGACACCTGTTAGTGAATTAATGTTGAAATATATTAGAATTTGACTTTGACTTCAATGTCAAACATCAAATTTCGAGAAACAAAAGAATGCAGACAGTGTGTGTGTGTGTGTGTGTGTGTGTGTGTGTGTGTGTGTGTGTGTGTGTGTGTGTGTGTGTGTGTGTGTGTGTGTGTGTGTGTGTGAGAGAGAGAGAGAGAGAGAGAGAGAGAGAGAGAGAGAGAGCAGGCAGAAAGAGAGAGAGAAAAAAAAAATTGTAAGATCAATTTTGGATTGTCTAAAAATAAGAAATGTTTCTAAAAACAGAAAAATTTCACTTAGATACTGAAAACAAGTTGTTTACTAAAAACTTGATGTTCCAATCCTACGATTTATAATTACAATTAGCATTTTATTGTTAAATCAACAAACATGCTGTGGAAATTTATCAAATTATTCAGAAGACTGCATCAAGTTAGTTTGTGTGTTTTATTAGTCGTTTGTTACTTAAATTAAACTGATTGCAGTGAATTATTTTATTTAGTTATCAAATATTAATAAATATTTAGTTTTATTTTAGATTAGTTAAATTTTACATTTTTATCATGGCAATTTAATATGCAAGCTGATGTTCATAATTTTATTTAGTATTTTTGTACAGATGCAATAAACCAAATAAAGTGCATTTCCAGAAACTCTATTTTACATTTGTTACCAGGTCTGCAGATCTCGAGGATGTTTTGAATATTTGATTTGATATCAATTTTTATAGTTATAAACGTTTTAATTTTATTGACGAATAAATCTAATCAGAACGCTACCGAACAGAATAGAAAATCAGCCTATCCATAAAAATATTGTTTTTTTACCTTTTGAGTTCATTGTCGCTGTTGAATTGTGAGATTTTTTCCTGAGGTCAACTGTGCGATGGGCCGTTTCTTTGGTCGTCTTCCAACATCCTGGTCCGCCCATTCTCGCTGATTTTTGGTCATTGGTTGCCAGTGTCGGTCTTGCTAAGTTTTGATCAACCAATGAAATGCCGAAATACGTCTGACAGACAAACCCAGAAATATAATACGCGGGACAGTGAAGAGTCAAACTTATAAGTTGGGCGGGAAATGGCGCCGAAGATGTTTTGACATACCAACCAACCGTTAGTAGGAAGATCGGAAAAGACGAAACCACTCGTTTACCACCAAAAAGACCTCAAGAAATCTCACGATGAAATATTGTTTCTGCATTTCGTCATCGTCAGTGATTAGTATGTGTAAAAGACAAATTCAAATATAATTTTGTTTCTTACTTCTTACGGATGGGCAATATCAGCGAGAATAGGCTGACCCACTCAGGGAGAGCAACTGGATTATCACCTTGCAAACCTCAATACATTTTTCTGCTAAGTGATCGGCACTTGATCCTGTACTTGGTCTATCTATTCTCGCGGGTTTAAGTTATCACTAAAATACGTCTCTGAACAACCACCACCTATAATATTTCATTGTGAGATTCTTCTTAAATCGAAAGTATAGCGAGCCTGTACTTTGGTCGTTACAAGTCGTTCCAATATTACTGGTCCCCGTATTCTCGCATATTTTGTCTGCCAAGTGTATTTCAGCCATCCTCGGTGATTGATCTAAACTATATAGCACTTTTTTTATTAATGTAATTTGATTTTTTTTTCATTCTGAAACCAACGACTAGTGAATCACTTTCACTAGTGTACCGTGGCTTGATCGCCTCCATCATCCGTTCAGCCCATTCTCTCTGGTTTCGTGTGTCAGCACTTCACCATGTTCGAAAGGCATTTGACTTCCTTATACTAGGATGGTCAAGTTAGCGAAATACCCAAAGTGTGTCTGAGAGGAGAAAGCGAGAATATGCGGACCAAGATGAACGGAGGTGATAGAACTTGTTCATCGTTTTACAGACCTAATATAATATAGTTATGCTTTTATCACTGACCTATTTTTTTATCTCGGGCTCATTGGTAAAAGTCTCAATTTTGTCCTATATGACTTAAAAGATCTATTGTTTTTTGACCCTTCTTTACTTTCATGCCTCGAAAAGTGCACAACTTTAAGGTAGTTTAGGAATGTCCGCGTTTCTCATTCACTTATTTCTTCAGGTGACATATTTGCCTTTCCGAAGAAGCTGTACCGTTCTTGGCTAAAACTTTGCAGTCACAAATGACATGGTCCGATGTCTCTGCTTCTTCTTGGCAGGTTTCTGACAAGTTTGCCCCATTTTTTGAGGTGTTAATTAAATGGGCAACGGGCAGTAGCCAGTATAAAGACCTGTTATTTTCCGTAGTATCTGCTTACTGAAAGATA